CCACGTCCACTATCCAGACTTTTTTGTCTTTCTTATCGACAATGTTGTTGTTGTTGTTATTATTATTATTATTATTATTATTATTATTATTATTATTATTATTATTATTATTATTATTATTATTATTATCTGCTCTATTCTATTCTGTATTCTTTTGTTTCTATTTCTATTCTATTCTTCTATTCATTTCTCTTATTCTATTCTATTCTATTCTATTCTGTTCTGTTCTGTTCCCTTTTATTCTATTCTATTCTGTAATTCTCTTCTGTAATTCTATCCTATCCTATCCTATCCTATCCTATCCTATCCTATCCTATTCTATTCTATTCTATTCTATTCTATCTTATATGCCAGATGTTGAAACAATGCCTGGGCAGCCATTAGATCTCCCCAAGCAGGCTACTCTTGACTATGGCCACATTCAGATTTCGCGGCTGAGTGCCTCTTTCTACCGATGGCTGTCTTAACAAATCAATTGCTCAAGGAAACGTGGCTGTGGCCTTTCCAAGAAGCACCATCCCTGCAGGCCCCCGTGTCCTTCCTCAAAGCCACGCTCTCAGGCCACATCTGGTCCTCGAGTCACCCAAAAGCTTGCCAGGCAAATTGGGCTGCTGCTTTGACCCCCGAGCACCAGGCACCAAGGGGACACTGTCCTTACCGTTTTAAGGAAGGACAAGCTGGACATCACCTGCCGGTACCAACTGCTCTTCTGAACAGGTGGAGGGCAGAGCTGGGAGAATGGAGCCCCTGCCTGAGGACACCTGTCTTACAGGTGACTAACAGATGGCAGGCTCAGAGGTTTTCTGCACCTGTTACCAGTCAGTAGAGCTATTTCTGAAACACCCGTCGAGGACTCTCTGGAAAGAGAGCACCAAGGTCCCAAAATAGCCCAGCGGACGGATTGCAGGCATGGATTGAAACTGACCTTCTGGGTAAACGCTCTCTCAGGCTTGTCCTCTAACAAGCCATATATGCTTTGTGGATTATTTATTGAATTTGTTAAATTTGTTTACCTTCTATGCCACCCCTCTCACCGATATGGCGACTCTGAGCAACTTACAGAGAGACAGACTTAAACACAGGGCGCTATATAACAAAATGAAATTCAGGTGGTGAAAAAAGTAAGGTTCTACATTTAGGCAAGAAAAACCAAATGTACAGGTATAGTATAGGGGGTACCTTGCTCAATAGTAGTAACTGAGAGGGATCTCGGAGTCCTAGTGGACAATCCCTTAAATAGGAGCCAGCAGTGTGCTGCAGCTGCCAAAAAGGCAACACAGTGCTGGGCTGCATTAACAGAGGGATAGAATCAAGATCACGGAAGTATTAATACTTTACAAGGCCTTGGTAAGGCCACACTTGGAATACTGCATCCAGTTTTGGTTACCATGATGTAAAAAAGATGTCGAGACTCTAGAAAGAGTACAGAGAAGAGCAACAAAGATGATTAGGGGACTGGAGGCTAAAACTATACAAGGAACGGTTGCTAGAATTGGGAATGTCTAGTTTAATGAAGAGAAGGACGAGGGGGGACATGATAGC